TTCTTTCTGAGTATCTGCGTGGACAGCCTGTTTAATTTTGTAAAAATAAATTATTATGGTCGTCTGGTCTTGTTCCTGTATTAAACCTCTGCAATTTTTGAACCAGTGCTGGCTGTCATCAGTGTCAGAAATGTATTTATCTGTGTCTGAAGTTGAGCGTGGTTTGATGGTGCGTTGGGGCTCTGTCTCGCACAGATGCCTTTTTCCCTGAGAGCGGATGTTTGTACACGTTTTGGACATGTCCCTGTGAGAGCCTCAGACGTTCTGCTGCGGCCATGAGGAGCGCTCGTTCATGATGGCATTGCTCAAGTGCAGATCAAGTGAGAGTTTGCTCCGAGAGCTGCCACGTGTTGTAAGCGTGCAAGGGAAGCTTGAGCGGGAGAACCAGCAAAGGCTGGCAGGGGATGCCTGTCCTCATGGTCTCGCTCATGTGCGATGTTTGCACAGGCGTTCTTCATGTTCCACAAATGTGACAAATGCTTCTTTCCCATTAGTAACAGAAACTCACCGCTATTGCACTCAAATTATTATGCTGACCGCATGGGAAGTATAAATATCTAAAGTGTCTTTCTTCTTCTTTTCTCTGATTGCAGCCGATGTTTTCCGTTGCACCGAGCTTAGCCACCAACGCATCAGCTGCCTTCAACCCCTATCTGGGGCCCGTCTCCCCAGGCCTGGTCCCAGCGGAGATCCTGCCCACTGCCCCGATGCTGGTGACAGGGAACCCTGGTGTCCCGGTTCCTGCTGCTGCCGCTGCTGCTGCCCAAAAGCTAATGAGGACAGACAGGCTGGAGGTAGGAGCCGATAAGTGTAACTTTCTCTCAGAAATTGTATCATTTATTATGTCTCCTAGGTATAAAATGTTTTTCTTGTGAAAGAAAACAATGCAGGTGTCACTGCAGTTGATAATGTCACATCTTGGTCACGGGTAAGGACAGGGAGTGACTGAGTAAGTTAATGGTTGCAGCTCTGCTTTTGACTCTCTGTTGCAGAAAGAAATGGAAATGTTGAGCCCTTTTAGGAATAACTGGCAGCAGCAACAGTGCCTCCAAACTGCGTTAATGTGTGCCTAGAAGGTGTTAACATGGGGGGTGCACAGCCACTGGTACTGAGCACCAGGGACAGGTGTAAGGGCAGAGCTTCAGCTACTTGGGTAAAAGATGGCTTTCAGCCTCCCTCTTACTTTCACTCTGGACAGATGGTGCCTGCACTCCCACACCAGCCTCCCGCACCGGCTTATCATCCTTGCTACAACCCTGACAAGTGCCGGTGCTCTCTAGCTGGTACTCTCCCTTGCCCTGAATCTTTCTTATCTGAAAGGCCTGACAGTGTTTTCGGCACCTTATCGGCGCTGCAGCAGCGTGGGCGGTGAGCCAGCGACGTGCCGCCTGCTGCTGCGCGCCTGCGAGCACAGCCTGCGTGCAGGAGTGCAGGTGCTCGGCAGCCCCGATCAGGTCTAGTGGTTAAAAGGCAGCGATGGGAGAGGCTGGGCAGGCAGGGTGATCCGCTGTCACCCCGTTTGTCTGTCGGACACGGCTGTGTGTTAGGGCACACACCACCTAGGAGATGTCGGCTCTCCCCGTAGCACGGCCGGTGGTGCGCTCCCTCTCCTGCACTGCGCCGCAGCCGGCAGTGGGGAGAGCTGAGCTGTGCCGTGACCGTCCCTGCAGCCTCAGCCCTCCTGCTCTGCCCTCAGCCTCCACCCCAGTGGCCAACGCTCAGCACTAGCATTCTGTAGCGCTAGTGCAGTGGCAGGTCTCACAGATCCTGGAACTGTGACATCTCCTCTGCCTGGGGAATGTGGGGGGTGGATGGCTTGTTCTGCTCTTGGATGTGATCCCTGAACTCAGGGAGCACGATGGGAAGGAGCGAGAAGGATCTCTGTTTTAAAATGCAGCCAATTGTAATTGTAATTCTTCTCTTTCTGCCCATGCATCTGCATTAACAAGGATTAATTCTCCTTACAAGAAAAATTAATTCCTTTTTCTTAGTTTTATCTCTGACTGACAAGCTGCCGCTCAGGAGGCTGCGAGCTGGGAGGAATTATGCAGGGTCATCTGGCAGCGAGCGTTTCCCGCTGCCACTGTCACTATTCTCAGAGCTCACGTCACCACAGGTTCCCCTTCTGTGGATCACATCATTTCCCTTTTTAGAGATGTTTTCTCCGAGGAAAGCGTTCCCCAAAGCATGATCAGGTTACAGGAGAGGCAGCCGCACCGAGCTGAGAGCTGGTGCATGGGTGGCTGTTTGGAATCACCAAGGGATGTTTTTCCTTTGAGGACTCTGTTTCACAGTGGATACCTGCCAGAGGTGGATTAAAACCAAAATGCAATTAAATAAATTAATAAATAAATCATGATTTGGAAATGAGTACAGAGAGGAGGATCTCGATTGTGGGGAGCCCTTTGGGTCGCAGCACCGAGGTTGGCTGCTGGTTTTGATTGCGCTTCCACCTGCGTAGAGGCCACAGCGCTGGTCGGTGGTGTTGGGGACATGTGGGCTCAAAAGCTTTCTGTTCATAAGCAAGAGCAGGATGTACCCGAAGTCCCCAAGCACCAGCTCTGCCCATAGCCAGGGAAGCACGTATGTCGGTGGGAGCCCAAAGGGGGTTCCACAGGGGCACCTCTTCATGTAGAGCCTCTGGGGCAGAGCTTGTGCTGGCAGGCAGACTGTGACCAAAGCGCATGGGGAGCTAATGAAATCTGGGACTTCAGCGTTCAGGATTTGATCCTCCGGATGCTTGTGTTCTCTTCATATAGCTATTTAGAGAAGTGATACGCTGCTGAGCCAAACTCCTCTGCATGAGAGGGAGTTGTGAGAGTGTTACTCTCACAAAACACAAAGGGGCACAGTCTGCAATAAAAAAAACATTTTTATCAATTAGGAAAAGCCAGCAAAACCATCTGAAATCAGTAACATTTTAAAAAAAGGCTGAGTGGTTTTGTTTTGAACTTGTACAGAAAGGAAGAAGATGGCCAAGTTAGAAACCCCTGAAAATAAGTGCTGAGACTTGGAGGAGTGCCGCTTTTGTCACCTTTCCTGGTGAAATGGCACTGTCCAGGGATTCTTTGCTGTAATTGCATTTAACTCAGTAGGCTCCGCTCTTGGGAGATGTCCTTGTCCTTGCAGGGAGGACTGTCCCAGCCCAGCCTTCCTAACAGGGCCCTTCCCTTTGCTCTGCTCTAGCCATTGCTAGAGCACTGCTACCCTTTAAGCTGTTTAAGTTTTGCTTTTTATGTTGACTGGGATCAAGAGCACATCCAGGTTGACCCACCGGCTCTGCATTTCCACACCACGCTGCTGTACTACAAAATTAGTATCTGTTGCAGGGAGGGGGTGTCTTTTCCTCCTCCTTTTTTCCCTTCAGCAAACACAGTTTAAGTAGTGGAATATGTAGGTGAGAAGATAATTTGCCAATGCTTTCCATTGTATTGGTCATTTAATCTGGAGTATCCAAATTTAGTATACAAATAGCAAATAAGCACATCATTTTTATGAACAGCAAAACATTTTAATGTACTTCATAGATTACAGGAATGCAGAGCTGATTTGAAAGATTTTGCACGGTCTGATTGTTGCCTCTCAGAGAATCTGGCATGTATCTACCTGCTCTTTAAGTGAGCTTATTGCTGTCGGTATTGTCATTTGTTATGCCATGATTAGAGAGCTTTATAAGGCTTAGCTCGCTCTCCCTTGGAATGAACTGTCCTTGAGAAAAATAACCGCTATGATGTTAGCATCTAATCTTGGAATATGATTTGTTCTGCTTAGAATTTTAAATACTTATTTCAAGAATGATGTACTGTGGCATTAATTAAGTTAGCACACGTGTTCTCAGACTGTTCCCCAACTAAAAGCCCTAAGTACATATACCTGGGATTTTAAGGAGAGCAGGCAGACAACACAAACCTGTCAGGCAGTGTGCCTAGTCTCCTGAATTAATATGAATATTCCTAAGATAAGGTTGGAGACTGTTACTAGCAGTAGGATTGATTTCATACATATTTGGACCGTGCCGCCTGTAGAGATAGCATGCAGATGTTTGTGTGTCCAGTGCATTCAGCCACTCCCGTAAGGAATCTGGATCTCAGGGTGGAAATTTCATGGGTTGAGGCTTTTCCTACAGCTTTCCTCACACTCCTCCCCTGCCAGAAATATCTTGAACAAAAGTGTGGCTCTTCTAGTGAACTAGAAGAGAAGTGAGAAGGATGGGGAAGTGAGAGAGAAAGGAATTGCCTAACCATTTTATTTAAAATGCCTGTGTTTCCATTGGAATGCCATCGTTTTCTATTAGAAGTGTTCAAGCATCAAGAATGACCACAACCACACTGCTGTTTCCTGCTTGCTTCATATATACCATTTTTTTGCCAGAAGGAAGCAGCTTAGAAGTTCTTGGAGATTTTCAGATCTTGGGTAATCAGGAAATCTGACCTAGCGGTGCCATTCATTTAAACATTCAGAATGTCCTGGGTAACGATATGCCCATTTGGATAAATTCTCTTCAGTGCAGAGGAGGAGACAGGAGGTGTGACTTACTCATGTAAGGGCAGGGATCTCAGCTCTGCGTCCATGGTCCTCCAGCCAAACCTGTGCCTGCTTTTGGGTGAGCAGAGTGGGACCTCTGCCGTAGCAGAGGTGACATGGCGGTTGTCTCCCCACCAGGGTGGGCAACTTGAATCCCAGCAGGGCAATCAAAATAAACTCAAAGTCAGAACAAGTTAAGTGAATTACAACAAATCAGTAATATTGCAGCACTAGCTCAGCATTTTTGGAGACAGGCTGGAGATGTACAGCAGGTGCCCCTTTGTTTATGTTTCTTAACATACTGGGTTGGAAATTATGATACTAATTACAGGGCTGTTAATAAGTAGCTAAATAAAAGCTCTCCAGATCTGAAAGACCAGAAAACATATCATGCTTCTGTGCCTCTCTTTACTCAAGCAGAAAAATGATATATTACTGTGTGCCTGTGGCAAAAAAATAACACCATTTTCAATGTGTGCTTTTAAATAAACAAGAATTGGAAACATTCTTGAGTACCATCACAGCGGTTGAAAAGCCATTGCTAGTCACACCAATTAAAAGGACTGGCAGTATTATGGTTTGTATCTGACTGCTGTAAATCATCGTTCAGAGATCTGTTAAAGAGCACCGAGAGCGAGCCATTCACATATAAGTGTGTATATATATAAAAAAGGGGAGGGGGGGAGGGAGAGAGGGAGCAAGGGAGGGAAAGCACCCACAGATAAGCTAATTTTGTTATAGTTAAAAACCAAAGAATGACCAGAAAACTGAAACAGTTAGGCAGATAATCTCTGGCATGTCCAGAGCAAATTTTCACAGAGCCTTATCTCAGCTACTGTATGACAGTAGCAAGAGACCAAGGAGTCTTGTGTAAGCAGGGATGGTGCTAGCATGCAACAGATAGCAGAAACAGACTTGTATTTTTTGATGGATTAAACAGATGCCATCTCCTTCCCCAGTCACTCTCTGTGTCATGCTGGCTGGCACAGTGGCCCATGTCACTGCATGGGGGCTAGACTAGGGAACAGATCTGGCTGCAGAATTACCTGGAAGGCAAGTGGTTATTTTCCAGCTGAGGAATTTGCCCAATCTGTTTAATGTGTGCTGCAGAAACAGTTCTGCAAGCACCGAGCCGCCAGCAGTAGGGCCACGGGGATGAATGAGAGCAGTGGAGGTGCCTGGACTGGCTCATTTGGCTCTGCTGCAAATAGACATCCAGAGTCTTTGTCACCACATGGAAAAAGGCTATAAATAGGGTCATGCTGGAATGACCCTGGAGAAAGGGATGTTTCGTGCGAGAGGGCTCACAAATGGCATTGCTCTTGTCCTTCAGGGATGTCATTTCATAAGTCTTAGATGATGGGCAGCTAGTAGTTGAAGCAGCACAGGGGTTAAAAAGCAGCTAGAGCACTAGCATGGACGGAAACCAAATAACAACCAAATTTGGCTTGTTGCAGGGACGAGAGCCAAGGTCCTTGAGGAAATACTGATGATCCAAGCTCATGGGCACCCACCTTTAAAAGGAAATTCCATCTACTAAAATGGGTTTATTTTTATACAAACTTGGTTGCTTTTGTCCCTTTCTGTTTCCTATAGCCTTTGGAAGACTAAAATGACAAACGCATTTTTGTTTGCAGTTTGTGAAGAGCTGACCATGAAAAGAACACACGTCATTTTTTTAAATACAGGGTTTGCAAGGTGTGTGAAGAGGGAGCCAATGCTTGTCGCACTGGTGGTGAAGTTAGTGTCTGCACCGAAAAGGTGGGCGGCGCGGGCGCCCCCGGCCGTCCCAGCAGCGGGGATGCTGCAGGGGGATGCCCTCCAGCCAAGCATGTTTCTTCTTGCGGTTTCTGATTTCCTTCAGCTTGCTTTAGCTGCTGTCACATGGCAGCGGTGTGACAGCGGGACTGGTGACCGCTCTGGCTGCAGCCTCTGCTCTTTCCCAACGCAGCCCACCTTCCGCTGATCTGCAGGGCGATCGAGGCAGCCACCGCCACTGTGGGTTTTGGATTGCCCTCTCGTGGCAGATGCCTGGATTGTGGGGGACGGTGCGGCACTGCATGCCCCGACGGGTGCAGCTCACTCCCCGGCATGGGCGTGAAGCACCCGTCCGGTGGGCAGCCATGCAGTCATCCTCCCGGCACCTGCGGCCGGTCACCTTAATTTAACGCATCGAGCGTTGCTAACTTGGGCACAGCCAGATCACAGTGGAGCGTGACTGCGTCCAAGCACCGTAGTGCTTGGGGTGAGCTCTCAGAGCTAGCCACAGCAAGTTGCTTCAGAAAAAAAAAAAGCCTTGCGGGTAGCTAAGCAGGAGCCAAAACAAAACATGCCGTGTGCTTGGCTTTTGATCCTGGTGGGTTTTGATGCTCTTGGACATCAGAAGTGGCTTTACAGAAGCCCGGTCCCTGCTGCCAGGCAGCTGAGCCCACCGTCCCACCACCGCTCTGCTCCTCCTGGGGCTGGGCACCCATCCTCATGGCGCTCTCGCAGACGTTCAGAAATCCTGACTCCGCTCTGAGCTGTGCCCGTGACACCCATCACCCAAATTAAGTGATTTTCTTTTCCCATGTTGCAGGTATGTCGAGAGTACCAGCGTGGCAACTGCAACAGGGGAGAGAACGACTGTCGTTTCGCTCACCCCGCTGACAGCGCAATGATCGACACCAACGACAACACAGTCACTGTCTGCATGGATTACATCAAAGGGAGATGCTCACGGGAAAAGTGCAAATATTTTCACCCTCCTGCACATCTGCAAGCCAAGATCAAGGCTGCCCAGTACCAGGTTAACCAAGCTGCAGCTTAAGCGACTGCAGCTGCCATGGTGAGTTTGGAAAACACCTCTGGAATAGAAGTATGTTGACAAGAGAAAATAATCGATGTGTTAGCTGTTCTTGCTGGAGGGGGGTGCGTGTGCGTGTGCTCGGGGATCCCAGCCACTACACGGTGCGATGAGCTTTCTCAGCATGTGGTGCCAGATCTGCTCTTAAGTAGTTTCAGACTGTTAAGGTGTTTCACTAATTTTGCCTGCTGATGTACAGAGTATCTATATGTACATATATGTGTGCATACATGTGTGCGCGTGTGTACGTGTGTGTGCATATATGTATATATAGTTTATTGTATGTTTGTGTGTGGGTAGATGTGTATCTATCTAGTCGCACAGATAGATAAACCTGTATTTCAGTTACTGTAAGTCTGTGTTTGTAGAGACTTAGTTCAAAGTCGATCTCACTGTTAATGCTGTTCCGTAGCCCCTCTCCCCGGCCCCCACCTGAGGGCTGTCGGCAGCTCTCACAGGGCACTTAGAGCAAACCTCGTAGCTGTAGCAGCCAGATCTGGAACTACTCAGGGACTGGTTTCCTAGCGAGGAGAGGATAGCACCCCAAGGAGGGCTGTGGTGCCATATTGTCCTGTCCATGCTGAGCCCCACGGGGGTGTGGGAAGAGGAGCGCAGCGGGCGCGCTGGGGCACGGCGGGGAG